ATGTATGGTAGAGGAATAATAAAGGCACTTTTTATAAAAGAAATTCACCACGATCTGTCCATGATATAAATGCTACAATTAAGTTGTACTCTAAAGATGAAAGTACAATTCTTTGCATCAACACTTTGACTTAAAATGTCTCCAAGTATTTTATTTGGTTTCTGTGAGCAACCACATTTTCACAGATCCCTAGACTTTAAGATCCTCAAACCACAGTTCACACATTTGCATAAAAAAATATATAAAGCAATCAGGATGCAAATTTTTTATTTCCAAAAATAAGTCCTCCCAAACAGAAGATAATACCTGGGAGATGAAGAGTAGGCAATGTGATTTTAGGGGAACAGCATGGTTTTGCTGACCCTCAACCCCACCCACTCCACTTTGCATTCTCTCTCCTTTCTCTTCCTCTGAATTATCACCATTTTTGTCACTAATGGATTTGACTACAGAGGAAAGGACATTATTTCAGAGCGGGGAGAGAAAAAAGCGGGGGACACTGTTAAAATATACATAGATTACTTTTTTCTTATCATATCAGTGTGGCTCATATTGGCTAATTACTTCCTTTAAATTTTCTGAAGCCTTAAGCAGAATGGCACTTAGGACATCAAAATGTTTTTGTTTTTCCCCCCCACCTAGCCCTATAACTAGAAGAAAGAGGTTAGAAGTTTGAAAAGACCTGAAAGGTGGCAAGGAATTCTAAATGGCTAGCTGGCAACATGGTACACTGACAGGAAAGGAAGATCTGATTAGTTCAGCCATTAAGGGTATCCTGGAACAGCCACCAAAGGAAATCAAGACTGGGAGGGCTTATTTTGTTCTCAGTGTGAAAATCTTCCCTGAACTAAAGTTTCAAAGTTTCTTCAACTTACTATCATATGTCAAGGTTTTACATCTCCTTGACATGCAGATCACTCTCTTATGGTTGTGCTCCAGCTAATAAATGGCCCTCTGAAAATGTGGTAAACAGGACTCATGTGAAACCATGATTTTCTTCATACTAGATATGGTATTTCTACAAATCTGGCTGAAGACTGAATTCAGCTTCCAAAATGTAACATCAGACAAAACTGACACTCTCTTCAAGTCTTTTTGCTATATTCTTTCTCTCTAGCCATATTTTTCCATAATATATTTATGTAATTGATGTGGGGAACATAGGTGTAAGAAAACTTGAAGTGGTACGTAGAGAGCAGACCTATGAGACGGGAAAAGCTGAGCTCACATCCTACCTCTCTATAGAGTCCTCCTAACTATATGATCACAGGCAATGTATTTCACCTCTCAGTGGCCCATCAGCATCCTAAAATAAGTCACAAATGAGTTATAGATATTGGCAGAGGGAGTCTCAACATGAAGAATTTTCAAACCAATTAAATTATTGGTCTGGCTCTGAACAAAAAAGGTATGGAATGGGGCAGTAGTTAGCAAGACCTAGGCTTGGATTCAAGATCTGGATTCAAATTCCACCACTGCTTACTAGCAAAGTGGCTCCAAGCAAGTCTTTTAACCTCTGTGTGCCTCAGGCAACTCTGTAAGACTTATCAAATAAGTCAAAAATGGATTGTAGTCATCATAGGAGGAGTTCCTCAAGGCTAAGAAAGTTACAGATTCTTCCCATACTCATATAGGTACATGATTCAACTGCAATTCTTTTTAAATTAACTTTCATCAAGTTTAGCCCTTTTTTCTAGTGTGAGAACTCTTTGGATCCTGATTATAACAACTATCATGCAACTTCTTAGCATTTTTGAAGCATATAGTTTCTTACCTTTGAAGAAATAAAAAGCTGCAATAATTATTCTAAAATTTTTAATGATTTTTATAAGACAGCATTATGTTCATAAAATGCTCCCCTCCTCCCTTTGGATACTGGCAATTCAGACTTGAATATAAAAACATCTCTGCCTAATGAAGATTGTGCTTAAATTGATTCAAAGCCTTTATAAGGTCAATCCATGTCAACTTTGGAAGAAGTAGAGTTGTGTTTATATCAGCTGGAAAAGAACTGAATGAAAAGTAGGAGGGGCAGGGGGGAATCAGTTTGCCAAAAACAGTTTTGTGTACATTATAACATATACTTGATTTGAATGGTTTCACTGAATCAATTTAATTTGTGGCTGAACTGATTATACATTGGCACTAAGTAAAGACTGTCTTTTTCCAAAAAGTAAACATTTCAGTCAACTCCTTTGGACGCTTTATTTTTGAGACACCAAACTGACACTTCTAATTTGTATATTTTGACACAATCTAAAGTGGAAGAGATTAAAATTTGTGGGCATAGCAGATCATATACTGCCAGCTTATAGGTTCTCAACTAATAAAGGTAGTAGTGGGGCACAATGCAATTCAACAAGTAAAATTTGACCATGTACTCTATGCCAACACAATATATTTTGTAGGAAGTTTACTCTTATTGATTTAGGGGGAAATTATCATATTAGAACATATTATGAAACAGTTTTTTTTATTTTTCAATGCATTACAATTATGTGCAATATCACATGATAAATATCCACTAGGAACCATGCAGAACATAGTAGTATAATAATTTAAAACAACTGAATGCTACCCTAGATTGACTAAATATAGACTCACAATTTTAGCTGCTTTTCAAAGAATTTGTGTGCATGCTACAGTTGTATCTGTACAGAAAAGTTCCATTACCAGGTCTTAAGATAATGTGTAAATGTTATCAGGTATAAATATAATCATGCTCAGCAGTCATACACAGAGTACACACTAAACAAATTTGCAGCTTAAAAACATAATTGATATAGATTTTTTTCCATAATTCACACAATTTATGCCTACAGGAATTATTTCTTTATTGAAAAAATATTTAGGACAATGCAAATATCACTTATCTCTCAGATATAATAAAGTTGTTTCATTTTAAAGCTGAAATATACAAGACAAAAAAGTTCATACATCACAAAAGACATGCACACATCCAAATTAAACAGCATTTAAAATTAGATGTAACAGACTTTAAATACATTTTCCTTAATACTTCTTTTAAAAATAGAAAAAAGTAACCATACAGGTGAGCTTTCTTTTTTCAATCTACACCTTAAAATTTTTTCATCGGTTTCCCTAATTTTTTGAGGTGATGAACATAGCTATTCTGGCTAAGTGGCCCAGGGCAAGAGCAAGCACTACCATGGATAATGGTCCCAACCAAGTAAACAAAATCTTAGTGGCATCCACTGGGTAGAGATCAAACCTCTGTCTCTTGATGGCATGGATAGATACAATTAGCACTCATTCAAAGTTTCCATTGCCAAGAGGTAAAGGTTAGGGAAAGAAATAGAATAAAATAATCACAAAGTAAATGGTCACTTTTTTTAATTTTACAAACATACTTGTATTTCCTTCCTAATTTCATGGCTCCAGAATGATTTTGTTTACTAATATAAGGACTAAGTGTTTCTCTGACATTGATCAAGGTTTCCCTTTCACCTTTAGTGAGAATCATTTTTTTCAGACACCTATCTCCTTACTCTTCCCCTGTGACAATGATTTTGAAATCTTTGTCAGGGAAATCCTTCCACAAAAAGGCCTATCTAAATCCCTCAGGAACCTCATTTGTCCATTACACCAAGACAAACCCAATGTAAAGGATTTGCCGCTGTGTCCAATCCTACTCCTACAACTCTCATCATCATCCCTTTGCTTAGGTCTCTTTCTTCAGATCCTCCTAGAATCACCAGGAAAAATCATGAAATCCTGAGGGTAGGTAAGTGAACTGGAGAAATCATTTTGTTTCCTTGCTTCCTTAAAGAAACTCATAGAACATTGCCACCCAAAAAGAAACTAGAATCAGGGGTGGGGAACCTGTGCCCTCCAGGTCACATGTGACCCTCTAGGTTGTCAAGTGTGGCCCTTTGACTAAATCCAAACTTACAGAACAAATAACCTTATCCGCTAGAGGTACCCTTCTGCTCCATACCTTAAGATTCTAGCTGTCCCAAAAAGCAGAAAAACTAGACAAGGTCTTATTAGGACTAGTGCTGGGAAATGTTCACAATCATCATATGCTACTTCCCCATTATTTATCATCTTTTCATCTCCTCCACAGGGAAGAAAAATCTCTTGCTCAAAATGTTCCGCTTTCCTTTTCATCTTAACCATCTCCCATCAGCCCCTATCTCTTCACATTCCCTTTCTTCTCTTCTTCTTCCCCACCCACTGACTGTAAATGCTATCTATATATAGAGGTTAATTTGGTCACTAAAATTTTATATGTGGGATATTATGATTAAAGGGAAAATATAAATAGGAAAAGTAGAATACACACTTATATTAGAATTTATAAATTTATCTCAAGTAGGAATTGATTCATTCTTAATACTTACATACCCAGAGTCTAGCATAGTGCAAGCACAAAGTAAGTGGTTAATAAATACTTGTTGATAGGCCCAGGAACAAATTAGATTTTATAACAGTTTCAAATTTATAATGAGTTTTCCTTACAACAACCCTTTGAGGTAGGTAGCATACATATTTTTGTTTGCATTTTGCAAATGAAGAACTCAAGGCTCAGAGAAAGGATATGAGCTGTCCATGGTCCTCTAACTCATACCTGTCCATGTCATGATTTGAATGGAGGCCTTCTGACTCCACTTGGTCTAATAGTCTTTCTGCTATGATATGCTGCCCTTAAGGTAAGTGTTCTTAATCTGGAATCAATAGGCCTCCCCTCAAAAAAAAAAAAAGTATATGGGACAATTTCAAGAAATTGGATGGGGGAAAAAACATTACATGTTATTTTTACTAGCCTCTCACTTAAATTTAGCATTTCCTTCAATTATCTAAAAATATTATTATGAGAAGTGAGGTATAAGTTTTAGCAGACTGCCAAGGGGTCCACAACACAAAAAGGTCAAGAGCCTCTGATCTAAATTATAATATTTTTCATTTTACCATGTTACACATGTATGTGTATGTGTGTGTGTGTATATATATATATATATGTATGTATATATATATGTATGTATATACTTACACACTTATGTTCATACATATTCTTTGTTTTTGTTTTTGTTTTGTTTATTTTTACACTGGAATGAGAGGAGCTAGAAGATTCAGACCACTGGAATGTATGGAAAAGGGTCAGTTTCTAGCCGTCTGCAAACCTCTTCAAAAATAGCAGCATAGCTCATGAAAAGTGTGATTAATCTTAACAAAAATAGCAGAGAATGTGGAGTACATATACATATATAATCTTACAGATTTTGTGTACATATAAAATATTATAGATTTTAGATTGCAAACTCTTAAAAGGGCAGAAATCAATTCACTTTATCTAATCTTTTCACAGTGCTAAAGAAACTAAATTACTATATGAGCTAATAAGTACTTCCTGCTATTAATAATATTGACAAAGATATAGAATGTCATTTTATAAAGTGTCCCTAAAATTGATGTTTTTAAAATGTATGAGCAAAAGATGTGTTTTCTGTTATTCTAGGGGAAAGGAAATAAAAAATTACATAAGTGATCATCTTTTACACAAAAAAGTAACCTGACTCAAGCAGGCAGTGGATTTGCTACAGTTAACACTGCTTCCTTCTCTTGGCTTTTGAAGGAATTCAGCAAATATGGATTTCTACAATATTACTGTATAAACCTGCCAAGAAGTTTTTTGACTGAATGTTCCGTGACCCCCTGATTCATGTAATTTGAAAATGCACTTTCCTCTTTCATATATATAAATATGTATGCGACAGAGAGCACAATTGTCTCTAGTCTCAAGATTGAAATTTAAGGTTTATGTGTATTTGTAATGAAAAACGATTAGCGCTGCAAAAAGAGATGATTTTGAATGCTAAAAACAAAAACAGAAAAGAGGATCAATGTAAATAAGCTACAGCACCACTTGCAATGTGTAGAATGCAGTTAATCCAGCAAAAGGGCAGATATGTTAATTAAATTATCTGGAAAATATCCCAAGTCCTCCACTCTGCTTTGGTTCTAGAAACCTGGCCAGAAGTAGGGGGGAAAGGATAGCTCTAAGATGTGTCTTGGGTATCTGGTTGTGGTTCTTCCTGCACAGCCATTATATTCATCAGTGGGCAGCTGTAAAAGTTTACTTTCACACATGAAATAGCATCTTGGGATTATTTTAAATGCTGTAGATTCTATATCCCTCAGCAAAAGTAAAAAACACTGAAGAGCAGCTGCCTTGGAGCACAGAGGAGGCTAAGTTGCAGAGGAAAGCTTTATCTATTCTCTTTGAAGCTAGGCAGTAAACATGCTTCTCAGGTAACCAGACGTTAAAGGCAAATACTACATTTCTTTTTCAGATTTGCTAGAAGAAAAAGAATGTATTTGGGATTTAGGGTTTATTTAATGCCTAACTATCAAGAGCTTCAAAATTTTTCAGATGAATTCTAGTTTAGAAATTAGTCAGAAAATAACTGATAGGAAAAGGCCGAGGAAGCATTTCCGGGGAAAGAGGGGAAAGATGCTCCTTTATAGCATAAATCTACAACCCTTCTCTTGCCCTCTATTATTCATTAATATCTGGAAATTTTCATCTGAACTACAAATCTAGGGTAAGGATTACAATTATCTTTTTAAATGATTTATTAGAAGCATGATATACCATAAAATATTGACAAGGGAAACTGTCAAGATGAAGTAGATACAGATACGGATATTCTCTCTAGCTATAACATGAGATTATTTGAATTTGTGTTTGAACATAAAGCAGCTAGTCAAGGGCTAAGAGCTTTATAAATGTCATTTATGATTTTTTTGTATTAAAATATTACACTTACGCTGCAGCTCATCCCACAGCAAAAGCAGCTGGGTAGGAATATGGAAGTGGAAAGGGAAGAACTAAAACTAATGCTCAACATACTGTTAGCAAACAAAAGCTCTGAGAATAACAGTCACCATGCTCTCTCACCTATAGCTTGACAGAAGAGAATGGTTAAGGGTCCCACTTGACCAGCAAAGTCTGTAAGCCTACCCAGGTGCCACTCTACATTGCTGTCAAAGTTTACTCAAAAAAACATATGTTAAGATGAAGCTGCTTTGACATTTTGAAAGGAGATTTTTAAGCTCTGGAAAGTATTCTCTGTATTACTTTCAGGATAACATAGTTTTTATGGCATGTCTAATAAAATACACAAAATTACTGTGCAAAAGACTCATCGCATACTTGGCACACACACACACACACACACACACACACACACACACACACACACACACTTCATGGGCCCATGAATGTATCCAAATTCATATTTTATCGACCTTGCTAACAATTTATGTTTATTGCACAGAAACATAACTCATGGCATTTCATAAGGAAACACTGTTTGCTGTCAGAATAGTTAAGGAAAAAACCAGTTCAATCCATTCATTGAAAATATGTCGCTGAAAAGAAGTTAATCAGTTGCTGAGGCATATAATGAGGCAAAAATGCCAGGAGGTTTAAGATTAATTCATATTTATATGCTGCTATTTTATTGGATAGCTATGATTTGACTGACTTGGATAATGCACAAAAATACTTCAAGGGAAAAAAGACTCATCTGGTCTTAAGTCTCCTATGCCCAGAATATACTGGATTCTCACAGTCTGGGAGTAATTTTATAATCTTTTCACACTATTTCCTAGTGTAAATATCAATAAATATTTAAATTACCACAAAAATTATATTTCAAACACTAATATCCATGCTTTTATATCCAACTAAAAAGCTTACAAAAGGGAGAACATTTGGAGGGATCATCATAATGAAATGCTAATACATTTTTGTTTGGACTTGGATAGTACAAGACAAAGATATATTCATTTCAAAAATTAATCTTTGTCCAAACTAATGCAACCTGAGCCAGATTTTCAGTGAGCCTTAAAAAGCATTATCTCCTCTAGGAACAAACATTATTGCATAGGACTATGCTTTACCCAGTTCTTTGCCACACAGCTATATCTCCACACAAATCTTGTCAGACATAAGAGGGGTCACGCACTGTAAAAAAATTTACATACATCAGCAAAGTACCTGGACAAAGCCCTGAATCCCAAGTTATCTCTCCAGATTCTTGTATACTTTCTATTAACAACAAGGTAAACATGATTTGTGGTCTTACATTGAGATTTGGCCCATTCTGCTTCATTGACTTCATTGAACAAAATCACAAATTATGAGGCACTAATTAATTTAAAGTGCCTAATGCTGCCAAGTCCTTTAGATAGTCGCAAGCTAAAGTTTACTGTTTTCCTTGGACTTTTGAAATCACATTAATTTTCTGCATCACTGTAAAATAAGGCAAGAAATCTCATACCATGGATAATGCAGATGCTCCAGCAGTCATGTAAAATACATCATATATCATATAAATCTGACCACTAGAGATAAAGTTAAAATTCCTCAGTGAAGGTGCTAATTTTGTTTTTAAAAGTCAAGAAAGACAATCTTCAATTCAAATCAAAGTTTGATGGCATATCCAAGATCAAGAAAAGTTCATAGAATTTAGGGCTTAGAAATTCTCTTGTCCACCACCACCTTCATTTTACACATGAAGAGACTTGAGGCCCTCAGAGATGAAATGGCTTGCCTATGATCACGAAAGAAGTAAATGGCTATAATGCAATCTTAGATTCCTTCTCTCTAGATCCAATGTTCTTTCCACTACTACAAAATGTATTGGTGCATAATCTATAAAAGTTAAGTTTTTCTCTTGAAGTCAAAGAAATTAAACATTGTTTCCGTGACATAGTTTTGTTCTCAAAGCTACATCACAATCATCTCATTTTATGATGGTGGAACTGTTAAGTTAGTCATCAGAAAATTGAAACGATCCATGGAAGTGCCATTTAATTTTCCTTGAAGAGAAATATAGCAAAAACCATTTCTTTTCTCAATTCCATGGGATGTCTTTTTAGAAGAGAAAGAAGTTGCTTGCCTTAAATTGAATCTTCCAAAAGGTTTCCTAAATCAACTAGGAAACCTTATGAATGCAAGGTAAAAGAATTTACAAATTAGAACATGCAGAATTTCAGTAACTAAGCCAATTTTTAGATCCAGATTTAGTTGCAGATTTCTCCAAGAGACCATTGTGCTTTGTTTTCTGTAATTCTAATCCACTTGCATGAAATCCAACAATACCTGAATGCATCATCATTTGTTTGACTCACACATGAGTACAGTTGGTGGATGGTGGGGTCTCTATCCGACTTTTATTTTCTTTAGCATCATTCTGAGGTGATTCGCTGCCAATCTGACACTTAAAAACTTGTTTGTAAGCCTTCCTAAAATTTTCAGAGAGAAACGCATATATTATCGGATTAACAGAAGAATTGCTGTAAGCCAGGCAGTGTGCTGTGATTCTGAACAAGAAGGAGGCTGTAGTCAATGGAAAGACTCCGAATTCAGCCCAGAGGTGAATCACATGATGTGGCAACCAGGATATGCCAAATACGACTACTACCACAAGGACTGTCTGTGCTGTCTAGAGCAAGAAAGAAAAAAATATGTCAGTTGCATCAGTGGGGAAATAATTTATTCATTTAAACTATTAACTTTTAGGTTTTTAAGATACCAATAGAATAAAGAAGACATGAAAACATTGTGTTGACTTAATTGTCTTCTTTCCTGCTATTTTTATTCATTATTATCTTGAGATGTATTTACTATGCTTCCCAATAATCATTTACATGGGATATTAACAACTAGTGCCCCTAGATTGGAACAACTCAGAATCATAAAACATCAGAGGTGGATGAGATCTCAGAAGGCATCTAGTCCAACCTGTATGAAAACCAGAATACCAACCTCAATATTCCTAACAAGTAGTCATTCTAGATTTTGCTTGAAGGCCTTCAGTAATGAGGAGTCCACTATCTCCAAGGACAGAGCATTCCACTTTGGGATAACTTTAAATGTCAAGAAGTTTGATTTTTTTTCCTTTGACTCATTTTTTGTATTTAGTCCCCCAGCACCTGGTATCATGCCTAATATATAATAGGCATTTAATAAATGTTTGTTGATTACAAACTTAAATTTCTCTCTCTGTAATTTCTATCTATTACTCCTAGTTTCTCCCTGTCAGACCAAAGTAAGAATAAAATACATAATCCTTCTTTATAGTCTCCAGATGCCTGAAGACAGATATCATGTCCCAAATAATATTTCTTTAAACAGGCTAATTATTCATAGGTACTTTAATCAATTCTCATATGATCTGATCTCAGGATCCTTCACTGTTATAATTGCTTTCCTATGGATGAGCAAAGCAGAATTGCAGTAGATCAAAAGAAACATGAGATGCACAAATTTAGAGCAATCTCCACTCCAAATGCTGATATGGCCTATTTATGCCTGACCTGTGGTAGAGCATTCTGAGCTCCTATTAGTCTGATCAGCCACAATCAGACACGCTGTACTTTGACCCTAACATAGTGATGTCATTTTGGTCTTCTTCAAGAATGAAGGACAAGAGGCAGCTAGTTGGCACAGTGGATAGAGCTCTTGCTTTGAAGTCAGGAGTTCAAATCTGGCCTCAGATGCTTGACGTTTACTAGCTGTGTGACCCTGGTAAGTCACTTAACCCATTGCCTAGCCAAAAAGCAAAAAAAAAAAAAAAAGAAAGAAAAGAAAGAGAGAACAACAACCAACCTTATCAATTCCCTTCATAAAATATGGCATTCAAGACTGAACACAATTTTGCAGTTATGGTCTGACTAAGCCATTACAGAATGAAACTATCACCTCCATGGTTTAGGACACTGTGACTCAATGCAACCTAAGATAACATTGCCTTTTGGATATAATAGCACACTGATAACTCATATTGAGCTTGCAGTCCACTAAGATCCCTAGATCTTTTTCAGATAAACTACTGCCTAGTCATGCCTCCACACTGTATTTGTGAGATCTATTTTTTTTCAGCCAAAGCATCTTTGCAAGGGTAGTGAAAATCTGATGTTAAATTTTGCCTAATGGCATAAGGATCTTTATTTACCTTGCTTGTTGCTCATATTTTGTTCATTTTTTAATATAGATATCTGATGACACGGTTCTTATTGCCCAATCTTTTCATGGATTTTGTTTCCTATGAATTTTGGGGCATTTCTGCTGTTAGTTTTCTTATACTGTGCCTTTGAATATTTGACATTTTCCAAATATATCCTGTGTATTCCCACCTCAATTAACAAATATTTACTAAGCACTTCCAGATACTGGGGGTGCAAGGATTTAAAAAATGATCCAGTTTCCGTGCTCCAAGTCCTTACATTCTCATGGTTCCAGATGGATCCCAACAGCTCCAAGGGCTTCTTTCCACTTTGACTTCCCTCCTTGGCCTCTCCTTTAGCCCAGTCCACTCAAAGCCCATGGAGGCTACTTTTCTATTCACATTGTTTGGATTAGATAGGAGTCACCAAAATATTCCTTTCTATCACACAAAAGACAAGTAGGCCTCACCAGATGATGATGATGATGATGATGATGATGATGATGATGATGATGATGATGATGATGACAGCTAGCATTTTATATAGTGCTTTAAGGTTTGAAATCGACCTTATAAATATTATCTCATTTTGTCATTACAACTACCCTGGGAAGGTATTATTCTTATCCCTACTTGACAAACAAAAAACTGAGACAGATAGAGGTTAAGTGACCAGCTCAGGGTCACACAGCATAAGTATCTGAGTCAGGATTTTAACTCAGCTCTTCTGACTCTAGTACTCTCTCCACTGTAACACCTAGCTTCCTGCAATGTCACTTACCATCTGCCCTGTTTCTATGCCCTGCAGATCTCTGGCATTTTCTTCTGACCTACTGGTGTAACCTAAGGACCTGTAGTCCTTGCCAGCAGCTCCTGTTACTTTACCTTTAGTATTTCTAGACCTTCCTATCTTCCAACCAGCTAAATCTTGCTTTATTTTTTTGTCCCCCCCAATCAGAGTGTGAGCTCCTTGAGCACAGGGACTATCTCACTTCTTCTGTTTGTATCTCCAGTGATTATCATGTAAGAGTCAGGAAGATCTGAGTTAAAAACCTGACTCAGATTCTTACTAGTTGTGTGACTCTGGGCAAATCACTTACCCTTTCTCAGTCTCAGTTTCCTAATATATAAAATGGGGATAATTATAGTACCTACTCCAAAGAGTTGTGAGGATCAAGCGAAATAACATATGTAAAGTTCTTTGCAAACTTTAAAACACCATTTTTTAAAAAATTTATTTCTTATTATTTATAAATGTTTTTATTTATTCATCCATAAATATGGTAAGTCAAGGAGTGATGGGGACAAAGCAGGGATCCAAGAAGAAGGCTTTTTCCTTCTCCTTCCTTTGACTCACATGGAATTTTTAATTTTACCTATCTTTGGACACATATCTTTTTTCAAAATTTCTAGTAATTTGTGCATGTGTTTTATCTCTGCTACAAAATGATAAGTTGTTTTTGTAGACATTATATCTTATTTTGTATTTTCAATTGCACCTACCACAGTGCCTTTCATAGAGTAGTAAATAAATCTTTGTCTAATTAAACTGATCAAAAAATGAAATAACTTAACTCAAAAGCTAATAAGATAAATTACTACCCCAGTACACATAAATATTTTATCATGAAACCTTACAGGATTAAAGATGAGTCATAGGGACACTTTCTGAAATGTCTATCCTAATTATTAAACTATCACCATAAAAAAGTTGGAGAAATGTATAACCAGAAAAAAATTATTGAAAGTAAGGGATGGCCAATGGGCAGCCCATTATCTACATGACTACCCTTGCAGTTTCAAGAGAATGTGATGAAAGTCTCTTGGACATTGAGTGGACTCCCAAAGTGGATAGGTTTCACATACACTGGGAAGACATGAATGATGTGCAGTTTCAATCATCGGAGAGAATACCAATATAGAAGAGATCACAGATGGAGTATTATGTCATCAGAGATCCAGTTTTATTGGATATTTTCTTGACATTTTAATAAAACAAAGACCCAAAGTCATTGATACAGGTTTTCCTATTTTTTTGCCATTATTATCGGAGTGACTTTTCAAATTGAATTCCTGTATAGTATTTAAGGAAGGAGAACTAGAAACCAGAATCAGGAGATCTAGGATAGGGATAAGAACAACATATAGATTAATATTTGCAACCAAAGATTTTATCTTTGGCCAAAGTTACAGAACAGAAGGTCAGAGACATACAGTGAGAAAAATAAAAGCAAATGTGACTCACTAAAGACAAAAAGACCTTAAAATGATGGCAAGCCTAGTCACTTATACTCCTCCAGTTAGGAAAAGGAACCAATGGCTTGTGTCATTTTGTTCATGTCCCAAATATGGTTTCCAACTATTAGCCCAAATCCTATTTTCTTATAAAAAGTGAGTAAAATTGTAAGACATTTTAAGCTACTGACTTATAAATCCTCAATACTGTTGTGCACGATTATTGCTATGTCTCCCTGCCTTCCATATGGATGATAGCTGGGGAGCTAACAGGGTTGGTCCAAGGTTGAGATAAGGCACAGCATGAAGTAGAGACAAAGCACCATAGAACATATTTAACATGTCCCACATAAAAACTAACATTTGTGTAGTGCTTACCACCAGGCACTATGCTAAGCACTTCAAGTATTATCTCATCTGATCCCCACAACAACCCTGCCTAGAGTCAGAGGTGTCTAAGTAGGTGTCTAAGGCTTGATATGAACCAGGGTGTTTCTGACTTCAGGCCCAAAACTCAGTCCACTGAACCACCTAGATGGCATGGCAGCTGGTAGTTGGCATTCCTAATTTTGGATTTATTCATAATTAATAGAAAAAATGTAGGCCAAAAGATGCAAAAGATGCTGATTTATAGCAGGTTAATTACAACCAGCATATTCTGACCTGCTGGCATGTAAGGCATAGCCAACCAACCCAGAGATTGAATTCTATGAAGTTTGTGCAATGTGGCCACCCACAACAGCAAATAAATGTAGGCAGTAGTTTCATAAGACCATAGATTTAAAAGTTATTTAGCTAAGGAAACTAAGACCCAAAGAGATGAAGTAACTTCATCAAGATGAGACGTGTAATAAGCAGCAGGGCTAGTCTGTAAATTCAAGTTCTCTTACTCTACATTGAGAAATTTTTATAATTTTTATATTTTACCACAGTGATAGTTGAAAAAAATGGTTCAATTTAGGTACATATATAGCAAATGGATATATATAGATATAGATATAGATATAGATATAGATATAGATATAGATATAGATATAGATATAGATATAGATATAGATATAGATATAGATATAGATATAGATATAGATAGATAGATAGATAGATAGATAGATAGATATATGTCCTTTATCAATCCAATTATTTTACTTGCTTACAATGGATTTAGCCAAAAAGATATACTATACTACGCTATACTATACTAATATTATATTACATATATCCAAATAAACTAGGAATTATATCTTCCCAATATGTCAATGAAC